CGTGGCGCAGGCCGCGGCGCTGGAGCAGCTCCGCGACCGGCTGGACGCCGGGGAGCCGCCGGAGAAGAAGGCGGCGCTGACGGCGGAGGAGCAGCAGCGGCTCATGCAGCACGCGCTGCAGCACAACCTCCTGGCCATGGCCTCCCACTTCCCCATGAACATCAAGGTCTCCAGCCGAGGTAGCGGGCACGGCGGGCGGCACCTGCCCTGGGGACAGCCCAGTGCGGAGTCCGGAGGGGTCTCATCCCCGATAGCCTCGGGAACCCGGGATGGGTGCACGGTCCGGCCAGGCAGGCCAGGATGCACGTCCCCTGCCAACATCCCCTGCCACCAAGTGCTGTGGTCACCCAAGGGACTCGCCACATCCCTGCGGTTCTCCCAGCCGGAGATGAGCAGGTTTCTGCCAGGAGAGCAGGGCAGAGCTGCCCAGGGAGCCCAGGGCCCCATTTCTCTCTCCAGTCAGTTCTTGTTTCTGTTTCTCTTAATGCTCATATTGGTATTTCCTCTCCCCAGATGACAGACAGGAGACCGCATTGAACCTGTCCACCAACGGCATTAGCAGTATCAACATGTCAATAGAAATAAATGGAGTTGTCTACACAGGTAAATAGAAGGGCCGCTTGGCCCGTGTAATTGCGGCCGGGAAATCCAATAACTTATAGCCACTGCCTGGCCAGCAAGTCCTTCCTTCAATCTGATGTCTTTACTATAAAATCCATTGTAATGAAGTGGCAGGGCCTGGGGAGAGGGGGCAGGCGAAGGAGGGGGACAACAAGGCTGGAAATTGTCCCCTAGGAGGGGCCAAGTGGGGATGGATGGATGGGTGAGTGGATGAATGGATGGGACTCAGGTGCAAAAAGGCCCTTGGGCAATCCCAAACAGGAAGACTCCATGGAGAGGGCTTGGATTTGGGGCCATTCCAATGCTGAAGTGCCTAGTGAGACCCCTCGGGTGTTGGGTGCAAGGAGGCTTGGTGGATGCAGAGAAAAGGCAAAGATGCCGGAAGGGAAGCTGGGCTCGGGGGATGATGCTGGGACACTTTGGTGGGGCAGAGCACCAAGGGGCACCTACCCAGAGCCCAGTGGCCCCAAGCTGGGTGCCCAAGGAGGATGCGCCCACATTGGCCCCACTGGCACTACACTGGGGAGTCCAGGGAAGCCCCGGGTGTCAGGAGGCAGCCCCTCGGTGCCAGGCAGGGCAGAGACCTCCCCCGGGCACTGCTGCAATGGCCAAGCCAGTCCCCACGGCCCCCAGGGCTCTGCCTGCCTGCAGAGACCCCTAATCAAACCAGGAGGCTTTTCCAACCACAAATGAACATTTAAGGGGCTGGAAAGGTCAGCACTGGGAAACGTTAGGGCCTGATGGCCACGTTGTCGCAGGCCACCCCAGGGATTGTCCCGCATGGTCAAGGACATCTCCGGGAGCCTGGATAAGGGGGAGCCGGGGACAGAGACACCTGGAAGGGACAGGATGGGGGGTGCAGGGCGGGCCCCGGGGTGCCCTAACGCCGTCTCTCCGGCCCCGCAGGCGTCCTGTTCGCGCGGCGGCCCGCGGCGCCCGGCGGAGGCAGCGCGCGGAGCCAGCCGAGCCCCGCGGCCGCCGCGGAGCCGCTGCCGCCGGCGCAGAGCCGCGCGGCCGCCCGCGCCGCCCCGTAGCGCCGCGGGAACGCCGGGACGGTGCCTCGGCCACAGGGACCACGACGTGGCCTGGCCCAGCGAGACCCAGCACCCCTGGGCTGGGGCAGGGTTGTGTCCACCGGCACCAGCAGCTCCCGGGGGGCTGCTCCTGGCTGCTCCTGGCTGCTCCTGTCCAGCCCAGGGGCTGCTCCTGCTCCTGGACGTGAGGCAGGTGGTGGCGGGATGGGGGACACGGCTGGGCCACCAAGGCGGCACAGGGCTCCCAGGGCCGCCTCTTGGTGCTCCGCGAGGCTGTGTTTTGCCACTAGCCCCCAGGAGAGCCCCCCGTGCCCACCCTCCTGCACAGGCACCTCCTGTGCCCGCACAAGAGCTCCCGCTGGCCCTGCTGCCCCGCTCGTCACCCGCAGCCGGGTCCCGCACGCCCTGGGGACACGCTTGCTGCCGGCGCCGTGCCCCAGTGCATCCCAGTGCACTGGGGATGCACCCGCACTGTGTGCCCTCCTCACAACCCCGCGCTGTCCCCACCGCCCGTGCCCCCCTCGCCCTTGTCCCCAGGGTGCCATGTCCCCATGGCGTGCACAAAAGTGCTGCGCTGGGGGATCCGCTCACCAGCACGGGCAGATACTGGGGGAGGTGGTGGGACTGGGGATGTGCGGGGGCTGTTTGGGCGCAGAGGGACCCCGTGCCGCTCCCGGGAGAGCGGAGGGCGCCGTGCTGGGCACCCTGAACTACCTCGTTGGGCGGGTGGCGCCTCCTCCCGCCCGGCCGCCCCTCGGGTGCCGGAGCAGGGGCTGCGTCACCTCTACCTCAGCGCGGCGGGACGGGCCGGCCGGGCTCCCGCTGCTGCAGTGCAGCTCGCTGTGTCTATTAAAGGGAAGGAATGGATGAACCGAGCTGCTGTGCGGGGTGATGTCCGGGACGTGGGGGGCTCTGCTGCCCGGCTGGGGCGATTCGAGGGGTGCGGGATCCCTCCCAGCCCCCTTGGGGACATTCTGGGGTGGCAGCTGCAGTGCAGGGGTCCGCAGCATCCCTGGGGACAGAGCCGGCTCCCCTGGGGACAGACCCGCTGCCCCATAGCGGTCCCGGGACGGTCCCCCTGCCCCATAGCTGGCGCTGTCCAGGGTGCTGCAATTCCTGCCTGGGGACACGGATTTAGGGAATTGCCCTCGGGAGACGCCGCGCGGGGAGCGTCTCAGCCCGGGGTGGCTCACCCCGTCCATCCGCACGGGAACAGTCCCTGCTCCCGGGCTGCGGACAGGCGGGATTTACCCTCTAACACCCCATTCCCAGAGGGATTCCCAGATCAGATCCCAGCGCGGGGGGCGGATTCCCGTCCGTGCGGCGCGGGGATTTGGGCACGGCCCCGCCGCGCCACGGCGGCAGGGCTCCGTGCCAGGCAGCGCGGCCCCCGCCGCAGCCCCCGCCGCTCCCGCTAACGGAGCCGGCCCCGCTCCGCAGGACAGAGGAGCCCCGCGGCAGCCGCCGACATTTCAAAGCCCCCGATCGCTAAATCTATCCTTTTTGTTGTTTCTTTTTTTCTTCCTTTTCATCCATTCGAGCGCGGGGCCGCGCGGGAGGGCGGCGTGTCCGCGGCGCGGGCGGCTCCTGCGGGACCCGGCCGGGACATGGCCGCGTCCTTCAGGCTCCAGGCTCTCCCTGCGCCCTGCTGTCCCCCTGCTCCAGAGGCTCCGTGGCGGCCCGGCTCTGGAGGGGCTCCCGCATCCCTCCCGGATCCGCTCTCCTTTGCGGGGCTCCGTTTTGGGGACAAACCACCGTTATTGCGGCCTCTCCCCCCACCCCCGCGCGGCTCCTGACTCGGGGTCCCCCCTGTCCCTCGGGGGTGTGTGTGTGTGGGGGGGGGGGGGTTGCACTGTCGCGACAGAGCGACACGGGCCGCGGGTGTCTCCATGGTAACGCGGGGGGGGGGCGCTGTCTCCTAGCAACGCGCCGCCATGGCAACGCGGGGGCGGGGCCAGCGCGGCCGCCCCGCCCCACATCCCGCCAGGCGCTTCCGGGCAGCGCCCGTTAGCGGGAGAGGAGGAAGCGCCGCCCTCCCGCTTCCGGGCGTGGCGGC